ATTGACCGTTTGATTATTGTCGTTCTACATCTGTAGCGTTTCTATTTGTTAATTTCGATTCCGGTTTACATTCATGGTTTTAATCGCTTTGTTAATTATTACTCATGGTTGCTGTCATTGAAGTTACGGCACCCGACACTGTAAGGAAGCAGTGCTGCCAACTGCGCTTATTCCTATATCCTCGCCAATTATTAGTAGTGCTTAACGTAAGACTATTTATCCCTATTTTCAAATCATTTATTCAGGGATAACATCTACGCAAAGAATGCTGGTCCTCTAAAGTCTGATAGTCAGGGATGGTGCCTACACTGCGCCTGTCGAGTCCCCTGATTTAACTGTCCTATAAGTCATTCAGGTATGGCGGTTAAGCTTTATTCAAACTAAATAGTGTTCAGCCTCTGTTTACATTCAATAGAAGGTAAGATTGCACAGCTCACTTTTCTTCAAGTCCCTTCACATATTCGTAAAGATGGCTGCTCTGTGCATCACGCTTTTATAGTTGCCACAAGCGATCGTTGTACTATTGTACAACAACAAATGTGTGACTGACTATGTTACTACTTAGAACTATTGTGCAATTAATGCAAATAGTTTGCTCTAAATTTGTATAATTCGACATGCATGTTCCCAGCATCAACTACTTCTAATGATGTTTGCGATATGTAATATGTAATGTGTAGCAAAGACAATTTCTTATCATGTTAAGGTTTGCATGGGATGTCCAGGTATAAGTGTACGTGCGGGTTACTTTTCAGAAGTAAAGTGAAAGCGATAGCGAAGCGACCACAGCCTAGTGGGTATGTGCTCGGCAATGAGTTTTATGGCTTTACTGGCTAAGCACTATCTGTAACTGCGAGCAAAGTAACCACTAGCTAACTTGATTGTCGCAATTATTAGGCACTCGACTACCTATAAGGATAGTAAATTTGCTTCTTAAAAATGTAGTCAACTAAGGCAAACAATTCTTTTGGAAGCATTTTTGTTTCCTTAGCTTTACTTTATCGACCAGAGAGATAAAGGTAACGTATAAAAGTTAACAGAATTCAAAAGCTTCGTTTTGGCACAACTAAGTTTTTAGTCATATCAATACAGTGGCAATATTGACACGAGCTGGAACTAAATAAACCTAACGGACATTTCGTTCGATTTGGTTTCCAAGATCCCAAGATTTTATTAAATATAAATACAGATTGTTTTAATAAATATATAACGAACTGCGATGAATCCGTAGTGGAAAATAAAAAGACAATGTAGTAGCATGCTATGAACGCGTTTTAAGTTCTTTGTGAATGAATTTGCTTGTTACGTTTTCAATATGAAAATCGCAGCATAATACGCAAAAAAGACGGTATACGACTTGCAGTGGTCTTGACGATGGTTAGAGGTGATCGGTAGCTGAATTAGTATTCCTAATGGCTAGTTTTTTTTAATGATTTATGCAAAATTGCAAAACTATTTCCATGTTTTAGACCATTCTGCAGTTCATTAAACTGGCTTTTGCTCTGCATTTCCATAGAAACACGTCAAAAATAATCTTTAATGAAATTAAAAATGACATTAAATAAATTGAATTTACGCGACATGTCCTTGAAAAAGAGAGAAATATGGGGAGCGAAAAAGAGAAACAGAGAGAGAGAGAGAGAGAGAGAGAGAGGGAGAGAGTAAAGAAAGAAATGATGAAATCTTATGTAAATATTTGCATGCGTATAATTTATTTAATTTTCTTCATAGAGCTATATGTAAGTGTTTGCAATTTCAGTATATGACAATATATGACAATAGTCAATCAGGCATATCAAATTAATTTGACATTTTTACTCAAGTAAAGCATGTGCATAGTTGAACATATGCATATTCACAAACACACACACTCTTACAAAAATCAGTATATCTCTACATTTTGCATGAACATCAGAAAATGTCCTTCAAATGTGACATTATCTCTTTAGCATAGTCAAGTATGTACGTATGATCAAATTGCGAGAAGATATTTGTATTAATGACTCGTGTATGCGTATGCCTCGACGTGTTTGTATGCATAACCTGATTTCAGAGCTCTCTGGATGTTGCCTGATTAACTTATGCGTATATGTTATACTCATTTCGGTCACATTATGCAAAAGCCTTGACCAATAAAAAGAAAATTTAATTTTATTTTAATTTCATTTAGCATTAAACGAAAAAAATTAATAATATATTAAAAAATAAAGCTTTAAATGTTAAATAGAGGAACGAACTTTTAGATTGGTAGTGTAGAGACTACAAGCGTATGATAGATATGATAAAAAGTTAGTTAATAATTTTTATTGTTAGTTGCTGTATAAGTCGTGAAAATAGTGAGCAAAGAAAAGAAGAAAAGGAAAAAGTTTATGGTAAAAACGCGGATGTAAAACGATATTCTATGTAAACTGAAACTTAAACATCATTAAAGCCTCGAATTAGCCACACGTTGTTGCTAGGAAAATTATGTGACTTAAGCTTTCTCTCATAGTTTTCAATTCATCCAATCCGGCGTGTGCTCTTTGGCATTTAGTTAGGACTTGTTTTATACACTGATCATCTCCTGTCCTCATTCCGCCTTCAAAGAAATGCAAGAAAACAACTTCGTTTTCAAGTTGAACCTTATTCAACACTGATTATATCATCAATGCGCAAAAATTAGGGAATTTTCGCTTACTCCTTGATCATGAAATTTTAATGTATTGAATAATTCTTAAACGAAGCTAAACCTTTAAATATTGATCTAGAGAAGTCGACACTCTATTCCGTACAAATCAATCTAATTTTTGCATCAAAAATTCTGGTTTTGCGAAAAGGAATTTAGATTTTGACACATCTGTGTTACTGCCATCATACATATAAAGATAATTACTTACGACTTTACTTTCGCTAGAGAAGAAACATTAGGTGGTTACGTGGTGGAAATGTTAAGTGATGACATTGATTCATCAAATATATTAAACGAAATAAAATTCAATGTTCCCATCCACTCTTTAAGGAACTTTAGTTATTATAAGCGACTTACCGTTTTAAACGATATATAAAACCGAATCTCCTCATCGAATACATTTTACATACCATTAAATATACTTTTCGTAATATTCAACTGTTGCCGTTGTTATGCCGAAATCGAGACTTTTAGTTTTCAAAAACGAATTACGATCCCTTAATGATTTGACTTTGATCGATTGCTAAGCTTTCGTTTGATTGCGTGGGTTTAATGTTCTACTCTCAGTTTGATGCATATATAGTGGGACTGTATTTCCTGCACTAAACATGCATGTGATTTTGTACCTGCTTTTTTCTTACTTATTTATTTATATATGTGTTTGGAAGTTTCCTAATTTTGTGCTTCTTGTTTAAATTTTAATTACAATGTCACAGCTACGCCTATAATTTTGGGTTCGCTTACTTCAGCTGAATATTTATTGTACCTGACTTTTATACGGACGGAGAAATGATTAAATGAAAAATGTTCGCTGTTACTTCTTTAATTTGAATTAAGTAATTCTAAAGTATCAAAAATCGGTGATAAAAATGCTTTATAAAAGTGAAGCAAAAGAGCCTTAAACGACGAAGAAAAACTCGGATTGTGAGTAAAACTAATTAAGTTTATATATTACGCAGATATACTAATGTCTTTAGAGTGGCTAGTTGTCTGTGAAAGTACAGCCACAGGTTAGTCAATGGCATACGGAGAATATATACTTGTTGCCACAGATCTGACAGCCACTCGCGTTACTGTCAAGCCATGACTTATCCAAAATCTCCTTTCTTTGGGTTAACCACTAGTTGCAAATTCAATGTATAGCGGCACAGCCAGACACTCCCGTCACTGCGAAATACTTTGAATGGGTTTTCCCAAACAATACAACAACTTCTGTAAAGGCTGAGATTTTTTACTTCTTCTCGTTTTTCTTTTTTTTCTTCTGCCCTTGTCTGTGAAATGGTAACCACACCTCCCCGGCTGTCGCATTTTATAGCCATTTCTGTAATCTTTTTTAAGTTGAGTAAGCGCAGTTATTGTTTTCACAGAGTAATCTTAAGCATGTTCATGCCTTTATATAAGTTACGCTATCCGCTTGCCTGCCATCTCCGAGAAAAACTCTTAACGATAATCGTCGCCTTTTCAAATATTTTCAAAACTCTTTACAAAAGGCTTTCTTCATATTATTAACTCGAGCGGTACTGTATGAGAATCTTGTCAATTGCAGTTGAAGTATTGTTATACATCTGTGTAAATGCACACACACCTTTACTCAATGCATTGCTATATTGCTATATTTGCGAAAAAATTCCGTCAGCATATCCTCACTGCATAAGAACTCGTGCGAGACTGAGTAGAAAACTAAACGTTGTGTTGATACATCTCTGTGAAAATGCACATACAACCTTAATTTAATCTCGCATCGATGGCTTTTTTACCTGTTGAATTATTGAGAACGAATATGCGTTTATTCTCTAAAGTCGTACAATACATGCAAAATTCTTGATAATTGTATACGCTTATTCTCTAAAGTCTTAATGAAGAAACCTTTCGAAACTTTGATTTAATTTCAATCATTTTCAGATTCCATCTTAATACCATACCAACGAAAAACACAGATTCATTCATGTCTTGCGCATACTTTGAGCACATTGTTATTAGGGGTTACAGGGTTAAAGCTTCGAGAATTTCAAGAACTTGATACCGGTGTGTGGACATATGAGTCCAGTTAAATCACAGAATCTTACATTAATCAAGAATGCAGCATATTTTTAGAATCTTTACGAATTGATTCCGGACGCTACAAACCATCCTTCTTTCTTTCTATTACTTATTACAATTACATCAACTTCTAGAATTTTTACAAATGTTTTTAATATATCCAGCGATAATTAAAAACTACAAAAAAAAAAAAATAATAATACTAATAATTGAAGATATAAAGTCATTAGTTCATTTGAATTTATTCCGTTGCTGCAGAAGGGGAGAGAGAAGAACAATAGTAGGGGAGAATTCATAAATCGTCATAGTCCTCATCTAAATCCAAACACGGGTTGCTTTTAGATGATATTATCGATGTAGATCTTACTGTCGAATCGTTCGATGAACTCTTTGAATCGATTGAAACTTTGGTTACCCCGTCAATATTTGATGCGGAAGTTACACCAATACTAACTACGTTAGCTTGTGATGTTTTTTTGTTGGTGGTGGTTAAATCGGTTGCAACATTTCCCACCATGTTGGAAAGATCTATATTTATAACTGGTGTAGTAGCCCCACAGTCAGCCGAAAAATTGAATGTATTTGCCATAGTGGCGGGTGCTCTCGAGGGGCAGGAACCTGCTGTCGTTGTGGTTGGATCCGCTGCTGATAAACTGCTATAATCTATTTTGACTACAGGTTTGTTGCAAAAACCGATGCTAACGATAGGCGCGGGTATGGCAGTTTGTTTTTGTTGTAATTTATTTGGTATAGTTATTGATGATGATGATGATGATAATGATGATGATGATGATGATGGCGGTATTGTTGCTGTTGTCGTCGTGGTTGCATTTGTAAGAGTATTTTGACGATTGTTGCTATTCGATGAAAGCGAATGTGACTGATGTTTGAGACGTTGCGTTTTTAGTGCGTTGTATAAGGTTCCGGTAAGGGAGAGGATTCCGAATTAGTACCGCTTAAATTTGACAAAACATTTAAATCCCTTAAGGATGCACTATTGACATTGTTAGTATTTGCTGTGGGCAAAATTGTGGGCAAATAAGAAGAGGAATTTGAAGATTTCGGTAATAAACGTCTCAATTTTAACCGATGACTGCTCGACTCTGGTGTTTCACGTTTTACATGCTGATAATGGCTGCTGTGCTCGAGGTCTGCTCGTTTGGGCTGTGTGGTGAACCCATTTGCACTGACGGCATCATCTCCATTATCGCCTTCTCCTCCGCCACCGTTAAAGGAATTGTGATGGTGTCTTTGGGTGGAAGTTGATGGCATACTTAAATAGTATGGTGTATCCGAATCGTTACAGGGTTCTTCATTAGAACTTTGATTGTCATCGTCTTGATATTGGGCCGCTTCTTCAGCCACACTTATATCCGGTATGTTCTTAACCAATTCGCGTAAAAAATCGAATCGCTGCTCCGACATTATGCATTGTTTCATATGAGACGTTGATAAGGAAATACACATCCAAGATCCCTAAAATTTTAAGAGCTATAGGGCCTGTAGTGATGTCCTTTTTCGAATTCGCAAAATTTCGAACCAAGGTATGTCGAGTCAATACAAAATACTAACGCATCCATATCAAGAGCTGGTGAAACATAACGCCGAACAACTCGCACAGTTGAAGGGTTAATGCCATAAATATGAACAGACGAAGGAGGCTTTTGTGGAGCTTTACGGTACGTGCGCTCTATAATTAAAGATTTCCTTTACATTACGGACATATGTCTATTAATTAGCTTTATAATTATCGTTACCTTCGGCTCGTTCGCTTTCTGGACCCTCTCCAGCCGCGTTATATGCCATCACTTGGACAAAATAATAGGTTTCTGGTTGTAAACCTACAATTAAACCCCAATTACGTGTAGTCCGTGATAAGTAATACACCGCATCTTCTTCTTCCTGCGTAGTTTTCCAATATTTTATCTAGATGATATTCGTATCGTTAATTCAATTTATAATTCTGGGTATAAATATTACTTACGCGATGACCTATAAGTTTTCCTCTTATATTTTCGCGTGTTAACTCGATCGGCTCCCAAGTAACATTGAAAGCGGTCGAGTTGAAAGCGTGAGTTTTCGGTTTTTGAGGAGCTACTAGAGGCATGTTTTCGGCTGAGTATATAAGTACTACTTCACTTTCTTGTCCTTTGCCCACGTTGTTTAAAGCTTGAACTTTAACCTCGTATTCAGTGTAGTAATTATTAAGCGGTATGTTTGCCATTCCTATATTGTCTTGACGCTTAATAATTTCTGAAGCCCATTCTAATTTGCCTTTCAGACGCCAAAACACTTTCTGGTATATTCCATGACTGTGCTGTTCTTGAGGTAGTAAAGGATCCCAGGTAATGGTCAGATCGCCAATCTTACCGCCCCCTCCACGCACATTTTTAGGAGCAATGTAGGGCGTGCCATTAAGAAATTGGTAAAGCAATGGTTTACTCTTGATAACAAATCCTACCTGTCTTCGTGTGTGCTTTAAATAGGGGATGGGGTAGAAGGCGTGCCTGTACCCAATTCCTTAACTGCGGCAACACTAAATTCATAGGATGATCACGGAGTTAAATTTGAAATTTCGGCTTGCTGTCTACTTGTGTAACGGTCAATTTCATGTGCTTGCACATGTGTTGATACATTTACCCATGTACGATTCCAATTAGTGCGGCCTAATATATTATAATAACGTATAGGCCGTCCGTTATTCGCACCATCCATTCCATTCTATAAGGGCTTTCGTTTTTCCAATATCTACTACTTGGACACCACCTGGGGCCCCAGGAGCACCTTCTACTACAACATTTGTTTTAGCTGAGATTTCGTTAACGGAAAATTTGACCACACACTCGTAATCCCCGCCATCTAGCATCGTTACATTGTGTACAGTTAAACGATTATAATCGATGATTTTAAATATAAAACGCGATTAGTGATTGTGTGTAACTTATATCTATGGGAATGAGTGTTCACCTACAATTTTCTCTAAACCGTCCTGGTTGTTTTGCAAAATCTCACCGTCATGTTTCCATACATACGCAACTTCTAAAAGTTCAAAAGAAATTGGGTACACACGTCGCGGCTGCATTCACCTTTACTATTAAAAAGGAATTTGTAATAATGACCATCGGCACATATTCCTAAAAATTGTTTTAAAACTAACTAGGAGAATACTTTGCAATTAAATCAAAGTTTACATACCAATTACTGAATTCGGGTCAGATCCGAAAGCACAAATACAGGCTGGGCTTGATTTGCAGAGCTGCCACGGTGTTATCGGCACCGGTGCTACTACGGTGATGCCTACCATATCTCAATATTCTTATCTTAAATGCCCGATGGATAAAATATCGCTACAGCAGACACGTTTAGCGTACATCAGCATAGCTACCACCTCTCTAGTAGGCAGATGTCCATACCCACCTTGCTTTAGGGAAAACAAGAACTTTTATTTTTCATTTTCAAAAGTGTAGGGTACAAACACGGATATGGCAAATGTACAAAGAAGCGTTCTTGATATATGGTACGCTTAACGGATAGCCGCTATGTAAGCCATATCCCTGAAGCGACGATTATGAGAGATTGCCAACAAAAAATAATCCAAAGTCACGTTTAAGTTAGTCAATGTCAGTATTAGTCAAAAAGCTGACATATGCTGTGTTCGTGTATTTCTGTTTAACATTTCTTTTGGTCAGAATGAACAATGCATGTAAAAATTATACAGTCTTCGATTTTGAGTTTTTTTTAACGTTTGCAATAAAAAATAACTACAAAAATAAACGAATGAAATGAAAGCAAAAAAGAATTTCTTAAACAATTAGATAGAACTCGAAGAAAATTGGGGGGAAAATTTTGACTTAGCATGATTGCATTTCTCTTCTTTTTAGGTTTGTGGAGATGAAAGAATAAAATTGGTCAAAAGCATAATATTTTTTTTTAAAGTTGCCAGTTAAAAATATAATAAGCTTGTGTTGACTCTTTTTTAAGGTGTGAACAGGTTCAAAGAGAATTTAGAAATATTTGTTACAGAAACGTAAAAAATTATCAATAGAGAAACCAAAGATATGAATATATAAAGATATGAAAATATGAGTCATTGTCATGTTCATAGACTTCCAGACAATTTACCAGTAATAGCAGTAATTTGTGCTTTACTGCAAATGCAGAAATTTATTCAATGTGGAAACAATGACTGTTCTAAGCTTGTTAACATTTGGTTTGGATTTCTAACATTCTAACCACTTTGGGAATGACTATTAAAATACATTGCCAGCACTGAATTATCGATGACGATGACAGAAATATCTGAAATCATGATAATCTCGGTAGTACTGTCCGGCATTGCCATATTGGTTCTAGCTGCTTTGTCCTAGTGAGTAGCCACACTATGATTAAAAAGTTATCTGCTGGAAAGGCCATTTGTAGACATTGGCTCATGAATGCCAACGCAAAACAATGAGCGAGGAGGTGGAGAATAGTGCTGGAAGAACCTTTAACCGAGTATCTCTAGCATACTTAAAGGGCTTTTAACGAAATGTGACCAGCTCGCCGTAATTGGGGGGTTCATAAGACAAATTTGCTCTACTGCGCTAATCAGTATTATTCAAAGCAAATTAGTTAGAAAACATTTTAATAATTAAAATAAACAATATGAATAATAAATTAATAGTAATTAAGTAATTTGCCGAATGTACATTAGTGTTGTTAATTATATAAGAATTTTTAAAATTCTTTTTAATAAAAAAAATTAAACAATTAAATGACTCTGTTCAAGATGTATAGGTAAATAAATATCACCGCTGCTCTGCTGAGATTTTAGACTCTCATCATGGGTATCGGAACTACGACGCCTCTGCAAACGTGAAAAATCCAAGGAAAAAGTGGTAAGAGCTGCTGAATTTGATGTGAACGGTTTTCGTAATGATAAAACCGGAAGAAGATGGCGAAAAGAGTTGAACGTACACAGAACCAATTGGATGCTGATTTAAAGGCTCATCAAGAAGATGGAAACACGCTGGCTTTGACTGCTACATTTTTGCTTTTTCAATGTCGATTTGATTGTGAGATAGGGCTCAAATGATATGCATGCATATGCCAGTATTTTAAATGTCATAAACCTTTTATATTAGTACGGCTTACGTCGGTAATGTCATGGATTTTAGTTAGAAAAATGTTTGAGCAAAACTCGAAACAATTTTGAAAGAAATATAACCACTCTCAACTTCTTTACTTACGTATTCTTTAAATACATTAAATGTTCAACGATGAATTTCATTACATTCCTAATTCGTTGCAATGTGTTTTTAAAACCTTGCAATTTTAATACAATCCGAATTACTAGTTGCGGTGTTAATAACCTTGTAAAACGTAAAAGTCAATTTATTTTTTAAATAAATAAAATAAGGAACTCTTCCAAGTTTTTTCATCTTTCTTTTCTCTTTCTTTTTTTTTTAAATTAAAAAAAAATTAACTAATGACCACAAACTCAAACCAGAAATGCCTCAAAATTTTATTTTTTCTTTTCAAAAAAAAGAAAAAAAAAACACCGCCAACTCACTTTCCTACATATCCACGCAATATTTTACCGTATATTATAATATCTCGAAACACTAATCCGTGTAGCTTAGTGTTTGTTTTTTAATTTTTATAAATTTCAAAATCATTTTCATGCCCTACACTCCTTTTGGTACGAAGTATGATGAGTTTATGTGGATATATACATTCCGTAGAAGGACTCTGGATAGTGTTACCTTTGGTTATACCTATCGATTCAGAATCACTTTCGGAATTGATTTAAGATTTTCTGTCGGTCGATCCTTCTTATTTTCTTGTGTTTTGTTACAAGATCTAATATTGAGAAAAAAAGTTTCTTTTCGTTTGTGTCAATTGACGATACGAATGCCAGGAACTCTAAAATTTTACGTTAACAGAATTGTGTTCAGCTAGTATTAAAGATGGCTAAATTACGCACAGAAACCACGCAATCTTCAACCCTTAGCTTCCATAATAGTGATTAAGAAATGTTGCTTTGAACCAATATAACGTAGGCAAGGGAAGGAAATCATAACAATGTCTTTCTTCTAATTGTGAAAGCTTTTGTCTTCAGTACTTTGAATTTTTATTTTTATAAGTAATTTCAGTGGCGCTTAGTTTGTAAAAGTCGTAATTAAGCATCCAGTTTAATGGAGCTTCATATTAACGTTTGGACCGTAAAAAATTGAAGCATCAAGAAGAAGGCTTTCCCGCGTAAGACTTTACGGGAAACTTAATTACTTTGCTATGAGTAAGTAATGTAACAACGAAGGTTAAGAATATTTGATATATTTTTGGTAAATAACTGCTCACTTTTAATAACATCTAAATATTTTCTTAATAACGATAAACTGAATAATAAAAAATTTGATCAAACAACTGCGAGGCGGCTAGGGCAAGTGTGATTGTTTTTCTTTGTTTATTTAATTAAGTGTCTTTTT